GAGCGTGTGCCAAGTGCCAGCGATGGTTGCAGCTAAACTAGGTGGTGAGTGCAAGTATGCGAGAGATGCAAGGCGATGCGATGATTTGGAATGCGAAAGAGTACACCTGCAGTAAATCAAGGTTAAAACGAGACGAGAGAATTTAACTCAATCAGGCAGTAGAGGGTTAATGACAGTTCGCTTGCGGTTAGCTACTTTTATAATAAACTTGAGCTATTCGAATATTAAACGAGTGCATTTTATTTGAGGTCTAAAGTAATGGCGTTCCCAAAATGTGAGCTGTCAGAATTCCTTGTGTATTACTCATGAAATAATCTTCGTATTCATCATTTTCCAAAATCTACCGCATAGCTATTATCCAGCCCACACTCACTAGGGCATCTTTCAATCGATGGTTAGATGCGTCTTCCATTAGAAAACATGCCTCATATTAGAGCCGCAGGCTCTGCTGTGTGTCTTAGTCAAAAGATTGCACTTTCTCTATTCAGCTCTGCAGCTCATATTATTTTCTCCATCAATAGGTTAAAAAAAGTCGCACGATAAGGAATTACTTTGGCTGAAACCTCGTTTGGTATCGAACGGCTCGGAGAGGTCCTTCCCGACCCTGACGCTGCTTTTAGTGTCAGTTTAAACAGCCGTATTTAAGTAAGTTTTGCAGGAATACTAAATTCAGACATAGCAGCATAAAGGCAGCTCCTATTCATGCTGTCGAAGGCGGTTTTCAAATCGACGAAGAGGCGGTGGGTGTCGATCCTCTGTTCACGGGTCTTGCGGACCATAGCATTAAGCGTTCGTATAATATTGAAACTGTCGTATTGATTAACGCTGCTTTTGTGGACATTGTTTGCCACCTAGTTCGTGTCGTCCTTTCTTGTCTCAACATTTTGGACTCGCAATGGCCTTCCTGTTACGAAGCAACGGGAAGTGTTTGATGGCGTTCGTCTTTGCCTCATGTTACACAGCTTTCTGCGGCAGAAAGTGCTACTTTCACCATAATCCGTAATCTATCAACTGTAGCTTATATCAACACGATTTCCTACTATACCATTAGCGTCGTCTTTGGAGAGAATTATTGGTCTATATTCCCAATACCGTTACTATCCCTCATTAAATCTCTGAACATGACGGGAAGGAATCTCGAATAGTTCAGTGGTGAATAACGTGAAAACCTAGCTTAGCAAATCAAGCTGCATATGTCATCGGGCAATTGTCCTTAAGTATTTTCACGCTCAATCTTCTATATATTCTGTGTGCTCGCTTGGCAACACTTAACTCTGCAACCACCCGCTACATAGCGCTTGCACTGTAGTTTTTCACAGCTTCACTCGACACTCCTGCGTGATCACCAAAATCCCTAGCTTCTTCTCGTTGCTTCTACGATTCTGTTTTTTGTACGCTCTGACGCTATTCTATTCCTACGGCACTCACCGACAACTTGCCGAGTCTGTGTAGCTCGTCGACTATACCCACGTACTCTTCAGCACCATAACCTGTACCCATTACATCTTGCCCTTTAACATTAATTTATTTAATTTTACTTATTCTGCTATTTTAGTTTTATTTCTTATATTTCATTGCCTTTCTATTTTTACTTTTTATTTTATATCAATCAATTCAGTTTTATTCTAATTTTATTTTGATTTATTATGTTTATTTTATTTTTTTGTTAATATTTTGTTTTTATTTATTTTGTTTTATTTTATTTTATATTATATTATATTGTTTTATTTTATTTNTTTTTGAATTCAAAATATAAATAAAAACCGTGGTAAATTCAACATATTTCATATATTACAAAAACATTTGCATATATTTATTTTCACACACGTTAGCCTTGAAATTCCACAACAGAAAATATATGCATACTGAATTGCGCAAAAAAAAAATTTAAAAAAATTTAAAAAAAATTTAATAAAATATCGCCACTAGTAGTAAATACGCGCGGGCACAAAATGCACACGCTTACTCACTCACATTCTGTGACAGCGGCAATAACAGCTGTTTACAAGCTAACGGCAACTAATTTGTGTGCACTGCGTGTAGTCATACAAGTGGTTGACAGAGCGGTGATGGCGACAATTTGTTGCCACTGACGCAGAGCGATGGTCGAGCCAAAAAGAATAACGAAATTAGGCAAATTAAAAATGTCAGTGCCACAAATACATGCATGAAGAAATACTAAAAGTTGTAATAATAAATTTTAAAAGATTTATTTGAAAACTCTTAGTCAGCGAAAAAGTACAAACCAAATTTTGCTGCAATATTTATGATTTGAAGCTTAATTTTTTTTTTCTATTTTTCTCTACTATTTTCATTTAAATTTATTTTTTTTTTTTAAATTCTAAATTTTAGAATAATTTAATCTGTAAAAAATTTAATAACGCAGCAGGCTCTGTAAACTTGATTAAGACGATTTAGTTAGAAAATTTTAATATTATTTTTATGAAAATTAAACTTTATTATAAATTTTATAATTTTATAATACTTTTTGATGACTGCTTAAAGTTTAAGTTCATTATTTCTTACGCGAAATATATTTATCAGTTCAAGGTGTAATTATTATAATAGTAAAATTTAATTACTTCCAAAAAATAAAAATAAATAATTATTTACATAACAGTTATTTATTTATTAATTAAAAAAAGAAAATGTTTTCTATAAAAAAGGTCTTTATTGCAATTCTACATGAGCAGAAAATATTTTTTTCTCAACCAAGAAAAAAATATTATTATTTTATTTAATAATTTCGCAAATATGTTTCGCTGTCATTCATTGAACGCCAACAACAATGATGACCGTTATCATAAATCTGTAGCGGCTAAGATGAAAGGCATATACTTTGTAAGAGCAAACATTTTATTTACACACTTGTTGTTGTTGGCGTTGCTATAATTTTTGCAGGCACTCTACTCATCTTATTTTTCTTACCGTTATCAATTTGGCGTGCTGGTGTCGACGTGATTGACAGACGGCAAGCAAGCAGCAGCAAAGGTCACAGCAGAGTATTTCAAGCATTTTCGATGCAATAATTTCCTGATTCTTGCCATTGCGCTGTTTTCGATGCTTTTTGCTGTCATTTTTCTTTCTTTCCTTTTTTGCCACACAAAGCGAAAGTAAAAAATTCGCAATGATTGATAATCGTGGCTGGAAAATAATTGTTTCTATATATTTATGTGTGTCTGTTTATTAAATTTATTTTTTTTTTTTTGCAAATTCGTTATCAATTTAATTTGTTTATGTTAGGTTAAAGAAGTCAACAAATTTTACGATCAGTGATTTTCAAGTAAATAGATTAGACTAAATAATAAATGATTTAATTAAATTTATTTTAAGCTCTTACTAATATTTTTTTGTGATGGCAAGTGGTGAGCTAAAATTAAAAAATTAAAATAAAAGTGAAAAACTTTCTTGATTTTCTTAAATAAAATGATTGCGCAAATTAAAACAAAAAAAAATTATATATTTATAAATGGACTAGTGTTCAATTATGGAGATCACTACTCTAACGATGATTGCTTAAAATTTCCATTTGATTTGGAAAGAGATCTAAGATTAAGAAAAAAGTATCATTACAATGTACACAAGTCTACCAACTACCTCTATCATCACGAAGTTTATAAGGTCACCCTATAGAGGTTCGCGATGTCTGATAATATCGATCGGTATGGAAAGGTTCGGATAGATGCATTTCTAGGTTGACAAAGCAAGCGATATTAATCAGTGTCATATCGCCTGGCCGAATCCACCTCGCAGGCGCACAAGCGCTTCTATCTCGAGACTATCGAGCGTCACCTATCGAATGAGTTACAGACAAAGAATGATGACTGTCGGGCTGATATCAGGATAGAGAAGAATGTAAATATCTGGTTGGCGCATATCATGCAATGCAGGACCTGGTATGGAATGGAAATAAGACTGATTTCCCGCCGCTAAGACTGATTGGCCGCCAACAAGATTGATTCCTTATTGTGCGGTCATGCTTATAATTTTTCATTTTCAAACCCACCAAAGATGGAAAATATGCCAATCTAAGACTTTAATTTAAATATTAATTTTTTTTATATGTATTTGTTTTCATACATAAAATGAATTGTAATAAAACATATCTTATCTGATATTTTAATTTTAATTTTTTTTTTGTTGATATAAAGAAAAATATTTCCATCATAAGAAAGTAGTCTTACACTACACTACACATTTACCGAAATAAAGCTGCATAATAACGATGAATTTCACGTGAACCGACAAATTTTTAACATTTCGATTGAAACATTTGGAAATATTAACATTAATTTTTACCCGTAAAGAAAAGTTGTCGTTAATGTTAAATCGTTAAGAATAATGTTAAATCGTTTACAGATAATGTTAAATAGTTAACAGATAATGTTAAATCGTTAACAGACAATGTTAAATAGTTAACAGATAATGTTGAGAAAAATGGTAAATCGTTAACAGATGATCTTAAATCGTTAACAGATAATGTTAAATCGTTAACAGATAATGTAAAAAGTTAAAAATCAAGTGTGTTGTTAAATCATAGCAAGCAGTCATTTTTAAGTTAATGTTAACGATGAGTTTTGTTCCGTTTTCAATGTTCTTGTCCTTAAGTTAATTTTTCTTGTTAGTGAAACGAAATGATATCGTTTTGTTTTGTTGCTTTGTCGAACAGCTCTGCTTGAATTAATCTTTTAAATATTTTCTTATCATTAATTTTAACCTTTTCCAACACTTTGAAATATACTTTCTCGATTGCCAAAGCTGAAAAAATACTGTTTTAGTAATCTATTGATTATTAATAAATTACAAAAATATTAAAAAATATATATTTTTTTTAATTTCACGTATCTCATAGAAAAAATACTACATTTTTAAGTAAATAAATATAAGTATAATTTTAATTTTTTTTTTTTTTTTGCAAATTACTCACTTCATTCACTTTGATAATTAATCTTCCCAACATTCTCTAATCAAACCTCGTTATCTCTCATTTTTCTTTGCAGCCAAGACGTCTGCTACAGTACAAAGTTCGCCAAAATATATATGAATTATAAAAACAACAAAACACAGCTAAACACAAGCATACGCGCATAAATATACAAAAGCATGTTTTTAATTTAACTAAATAATATCCATTTCTTCGCCAATTGTGCAAATTAAATCAATAAGTGAGTGCAAAAGTAAATTTCAATTGTGAAAAAAAGGGAGAGAAATAAATTGGAATAAAAGTGAAATAAAATATTACTAAGTGCCGACACGCTTGCTTTTTAATTTATTTATAAGCAAATAATAATAAGAGCAAAATAAAATAGTAAAATAAGGAAAATTGCCAAAATTCCGGCGCACAAAGGCAAACAAAACCAAAAGAAAAAAACATTTGCTGCAGGTTCGAGCAAACAAACCCAAGCGGGCAAAGTAATCAAAAAAAAAAATCAACAAACTTAACAATAAACGAATTTATGTTGTAAAAGTAATAAGAAAAAATAATAATACACACACAACAACAAATAATGAATGGCGCTTAACAAATAACAAATGAAAGAGTGCCACAAGGAGAATAATAATAATAAAAATAATAATAAAATAAAATAAATAGAAAAAGTGAAAATTAAAACAAATCGCATAAGCGCCAGAGTTCGTTTCAATTGGTGTTTGATTTACTTACTGCAAAATAAAATTGAGAAAAAATAGCTAAATTAAAAAAATAATTAATAAAAAAAAAACAAATTTTGTTCCATTATTTAGAAAAAATAAATAATATTTTCAGTAGTAATGGTGGCAAAATAACAAAATTTCTTTTAAAAAACAACAATAATGAAAAAAATTTAAAAATACAAAATTTTTTTTTTTTTTTTTTTTATTTGAAGTAAAAAACTATTAATTTTTGCATATAATAAAATCGGTCATAATTTTTTTCTCCAAAAACTAACTAGCAAAATCTAGAAAAAAAAAACAAAAATACACTGCTGCACTAGCCTGAGCAACATTCTTAATACTACTGAAAAAAGTTATAAAATATAAAAATATGGCAACCCTACACATAACCTGGTTTCTATTGGCGTTTTTGGTATTCGAGTCGAAATGCAGTGATTTAGCAGGTGAGTGAGAATTTATACTAATTAAAAGGTCAAAAATTTGCAAAAACTCATATTTTTATACGTTTTAAGGAATCTAAATTATTATTATTTTTATTTTATTTTTTTATTAATTTTTTTTTTTAACTTATTCAAAAGGTATGCAGTGTCCCAAGTCAACTGAAGTATTTAACAATACTTTTTTGCATATGACAAATCTCCACATAAGTGAACCGCCCTTTTTCGACACCCTCCAAAAATGTGACAAGCAAATAATAAATAAAAAATTTTGATATGCAATAAGCGCACATATGAACAGCTCTTATTGCCGCTCATATATCATGCTCGTAAACTTCTTCGATTGAGTACTTAAATATTCCCCCACCCGCAATTTGGTCGCATGCAAGTGCCTGTGACATCTTCCAAAAAAGAGAGGAGGAAAAAAAACAAAATTTATGTCGCGTGGGCGCCTGCTGTTGCCGCTGCCGTTGCACTCAATTGCCAGCAACACTTTGCTTCGTCGCCAGCGCGCTTCTGCCAAGTCATTTAAACGCGGCGTTTAAAGTGTCACAAAAATATTGAGGAAGAGCAGCGAGAAATATATGTAAATAAATAAAAGTGTAGTTTTAGTAGTTTTTGTTTATTCTATTTTATTTTTGAATTTTTTGAAAGCTCTTAAGTGCCTCGCATTAATTGAAGATTTTTTTCTCGCATAAGAAGTCGGAAATCTTATGGAAATCGCTTAATTATTTGCTATAATTCAGCATCAACGAGTTATTTATGATTGTTTGTTTAAAAAAATATATGCATACAATACATATACATATGCATATTAACTTTAAGGATTTTGCTTACACTCGAAATGCTGTTTATGCTAATTATAAAATCATTTTTTTTCTTGATCTAATTTTTGACACACAAAGCTTATTAGTTATATAGACACTTATATATTCAGACATAAATATTTTAAATATATTTGAATACAATAAAAATTAAGCCTAACTACCGATCTATGACTTTTAAGTGACATCTCAAATAAATTATTAAGTTTAAGCGGATTAAAAGCATGTACGTGGGCATAATAAATTAATACTGTTTTTTGCAATATAAATACTGATACTTTTCCACTTATCTTTTGTCATTTTTATTATTTTATTTTTTGTGATTTTCTAATCAAATTTGCTTCAGTGTTTTATATTAATTCATCTAATTTTATTCTAATTTTTTTATTTTATTTTTTCTATTTTATTATAGTTAATTCTATTTTTTTATTTTATTTTATTTTATTTTATTATTTTATTTTATTTTATTTTATTTTATTTTATTTTATTTTATTTTATTTTATTTTATTTTATTTTATTTTATTTTATTTTATTTTATTTTCATTTATTTTATTTTATTTTATTTTTTATTTGAATTTATATTATTTTACTTTATGTTATATATTTTTTTGGTTTATTTGATATTAAATGTTTTGATTTTTATATGAATTTATTTGTTAGTTTTAGTTTAATGATACAATTATTTCTATTTCACTATCGAATTTGGTTGAATTGAGAATTGGAGCAACTCTTTATTATTTCCACTTCCGCTTTAAACAAAATCAAAAGCACTTAAGCAACACAATTTTAATACGCATGGAAAACGTTTTTTATTTTACAACATACCATGAATGGTGTTAGAAATTTTTTGGCAAAAGTAAAGGAAAAAAATTAAATGTAAAACGGAACGCAATGTGTTTATGCAAAATTTAAAGCGGTGGAAAGAAAATATAAGCAAAAGAAATTTCGCCGCACTGCACGCAATTTTTTTTATACGTGGCGTGGGCTGCTTTTGGTGTCTGGTCGAGCGTTGCCAAAGGCCACTGCCGCTGCCGTTCATTGTGGCGTCATCAAGTGGCGTGTTGACCTGCGGCCATTGACGGCTCGCTAAAAGCAAACGCATAGCCTGCTTATGGCAGGAAAAACATTTGATAGAGGGTGGGTGGGGGTGGGTGGCTTCGTGTATAGCATTGAACAAATTTAACGGTTTGTGGCGTCATAATTGCATACCAGCCATTGAAGTGGCCAAAGGCAGCTTATCAAGCAGACACGCAGACACACGCACCCCTACTAATGGCACACACAATTACAATTATACTCGTAAGTTAACTGAATTTATGGAAATTTCGTGTTTTGTTTCTGCGTTTTAATGTGCTGTTGCCTATTTGACGGTGTTTCATTGTTATTATTTGGCGATTTCGCTGTAAGTATGTGTGCGTTTATTAGGAGAACGTTGCAGCAATTTTTTTCCTTTTTTCCTCACTGTTGTTAAGCTACTGGATGGACTGGTGGATATAAAAGCAATGACGTTGTTTTTGAAGAATTCTGATATTTTCTAATTTTAAATGTTATTTGAACAATTTAACCTAATTAAACTTTTGTTGGAAATCTCGAATTTCGGCCAAATAAATATGTGTTTTGTAAAAAACTAAATATTCATGAGCTTTTCTTGTTTCTTCTTAGGAAATAGAAAAAAAATATATTCTAGAATGATAAATATAATATTTATATTTACTCTTTTTATTTTTTTTCATTTTAAATTTTAATATAATTATACTCAACTATTTTAATAATTTATATTGTCTTTCTTTAACTTAACTCAAATTTTAATTTTTTAAAGCATCTTATTTCATCTTAATTTATTTATATTAGCGTAATTTTATTCGATTCATTTTCATTTATTTTTTTTTAATGTAATTCAAATCAAATGTATGTTATTTTAATAAATTTTAATTTATTCCGTTTCATTTATTTTTCTATTTTATTTTTTATGTACGTATTCTTATTTTTACAGTGTATTTTATTTTTTCATTAATTTTATTGAATTTAAATAAATTTTATTTTGTTTATTTTCGTTTTCTTAGTTTAATTGACTTAACTGCATTCAATTTCCTTCAATTAAATTAATTGAAAAAAAATTTTTTTTGGTTACTTATTTTAACTTACTTTATATAATTTTATTTTACAATATGTTATTTTAATTTGTTTCCTTTTCTATTTGTTTTTTTTATTTTTATGTTTTAATTTTATTTTATGTTATTTTGTTTTATTCAATTACATTATTTTATTTATTTTTCTTGACTACTTTAATAAGTTTTTTACATATTATTTGATATTGTTTAATTGATTTTTTAATTTTATAAATTTTTTTATATTTTTTTCATTTCCTTTAATTTTATTTTATTTTATTTTTTATTAATTCTGATTTTATGATGTTATTTTACTTCGTTTTAGTTTATTTTATTGTATTTTTATTATTATTTTTTTATTTTTTTTTTTAATTTGCTTTTCTAATTTATATTTATTTTTTTTTATTTGTTTTCATTTTACTTTATTTTTTAATTGTGTATTTTTTTTAAATTTCATTTCATTTTTCTATTTTAATTTCTTTTATTTTAATTATTTTATTTAGTTTTATTTTATTTGAGCCTATTTTATTTTATTATTTTACTTCATTTCAATTTATTATNTTTTATTTTATTTTATTTTATTTTATTTTATTTTATTTTATTTTATTTTATTTTATTTTATTCTTTTTTAAATTGTTTCATTTTATATTATTTTATTTTACTAATTTTTATATTGTTTAATTTATTTTTATTTTTTTTTTCAAAATTGAATGCGAGAAATATTATATTCAGTTTTATTTGATTTTTGAATTGGTTTAATGTTCATTTCCACCAACAACCAGTAAAAACGAAAGATCTTCAATCTCTCTCACCTTCGCTTGCTGTCATTTAACAAAATACAGCTGCTGCGGATTTGTTCGTCAAAAATTGTGCACAATCGAGTGAATATCTCAATAGTAATAATTTTTATACTATTTTAATTTTTTTTTTCTTCTTTTATATAACCCACGTTCCTTTCAGAATAATCACTAGCATAAACAAAAATTTCTTGAATAAATATGTTTATATGAAATGTATATATCAAAAATTCAAATTCACTCTACCAGCAGGCGGAAATCGTCTGATAACACCTTCATTTCTAATAATCCCTTTTCACGCCTAAGTCGAACAGCGAGTATATTGACTTTATCTTAGTCTTCTTTAG